AGAGTTCTACCTCAGACACATGATCTTCAGACGAACACATTGCAGATCCGTTTTCGTTGTTTGAATTGTGGGATAATGTTGTATATATTATCTCCAAAGTTTATTTCATCAATACAACAGTCCCAAACCTTGATTCCAAGATTGATCAGAAGGTTACAAGTCTTGACTCCAAGCTATATCTCATTCTCAAATCTCTTTCCGAGATCAAAGATGCTTCCCCCTCAGAACTCGATCGAGCAAATCAACTCGACGAACTTATTTCCCTCCGGTCCAAGCACACTCTTGAAGAATTCGAACAAAATTATAACGACAACCTCAGTCATCACATCTCCACTACCACCACTATGCTCAAGATTTATTACGACACGATTAGTGTAACCAACGAACTCATCAAACAGACTCATGTTTATCATGAGAAACAAATTCAAAGGATGGAATAGGATATTCGGAAAAAGGATGAAATGAATATGATTATGCAAAAATTTCTTATCAAGTTGATCTGATCCACCTGGATTATTGTTGATGTTCTGAACTATAAATTTGATGAGATGCTCGTAATTATTGATGAAACATTTTCCCATCTTAAATCTCAAGCTCCAATAGCCGAAGCTTACGATGCTCTTTAAAACAGACCAACTTGAGCTTTCCAAAGGTGTTCAAATTATTAAGTGAACTTCAAGATAATGATAAACTTTCATCGGATACAACGCCTTCCAGTGCAAGAGGCGGGGGGAAGGAGTTAGTGAATGAGAAATATGGATTCAACATAAACCTATCTCAAAACTTGTGCTTTGAGATGAGTCATCTGATGAAGAAATACTTGAGGTTGAAACTCTTGAACCTCTTGAGTCGGGTGATGAAGAAGATGAAGACCTAGCTGAAAATGTTATTTTAGGACTTCAAGCTATCAGGGAACAACCTGTGAAGGTCCTTTTGGATGCAAATAAGCTGAAATGGTCCTCAGTGTCGTGGCCATGATCTTTAGCGAAAACGTTAAGACTAAGTCAAGATATGGCTAAAATCAAGACAAAGCTAACCGTTGATACTTTCTGAGCTACTCAATCTATGCTTCCTCCAATCCATGCTTTGAGGATCTCTCAAATCGATGTAGGTTCTCCAACCTAGAAATCGAATAAGGTCCACAAATCATCTCCGGCATGGATGTACCTCCACAAGACAAAGGCAAGCATATTGCTACTGAATCGGACAGCCTAGTGAAGACGTTGAAAAAGTGTGAAGGCTGGTCTCATGAACAAATCGATAAAGCTTTGGAAGAAAGCATCCAGATTCAGGTGTTGAAAGGTAATTTTAATCCGATGTGGAGGCATATCTTCTCTTTTTCAAGAATGAGTTATTCATGACATAAACTTTGAGACCTTCATGTATTATGATCTTCCAACACAGAATTCCGATCAAATTGACCTACCAATCTCTCTTCATGGTCACTTCTATATCAAGTATGCCCCTCTTAATCCAAATGATGATCATCAAATAATCATCAGGACAGAGCGTGAGAGACTGAAAACCTTCTACTACGTCAACGCACCAACCCAAAAGGAAGTGTGGTCTTGGAAGCGGATTACCAAGATTGTTGGATATGGTAACAAGGCTCAAAGCAAGTTTGATCTTAACTCTATGTTGTACAAATATTATGTATCTCGGAACAAAGAATCAACCATCACTATCACAAATATTGACTTTCCCTCAATCAACCTAAATGACATTCTTACCATTTTTGTTCACATTCGAGATCGCCAAACCAGTGACACAAGCTTTGGAGCTTATAGTGTTGCAGTCAATACATTGTAGAGTTCTAGAGGTTCGACATTGTATTTGCTCACCTATTCAGAACCAAGAACATTTTGGCAAAAATCACTACAGAACTACCTGAAGCACAGATCTTGGCAGAAGGCCCCATTGAAGAACTGGAACTCAACTATGTCTATCTCAGAAAGAAGACTAATCGAAAAAATTCTTTAGAGTTCCTAATAAACATCTTGTCGCGAAAGAGATCCTTCAAAAGTTCATTTCCAAAGTTTCAAAAAGTGAATCTCCTGATCATGTCAAGAAAATTTTCATTGAACATCTCAAATGGTATTTGGAAGTCTGAAGCTAGCTACAAAGTGCCTATTTCCTTGTGTTTGATGAAGCCAAGTGAGAATTTGTTTGATTTCTAAGTTTAATTAGGGGGAGATTTTTGATACATGAAAGTGAAGCTCTAGCATTCCTATGCCAAACCAGAACCAAAGTCCAATAGCATTCCGAGATATGAAGAGATTCCGAAGTCAAGCTTATTCCGAGATGAAGACTTATCCAAGACATTGCTATTTTTAGATGTTATTGAGTTGGTACAAGCATGTAATTCTTCTTTTCGTTTGGTACTCGTTTATTATACAATTCATGGGACAAAATCGAGTAAATCGTGTGCGTCAGGTTTTATAAATTATCAGATTTACATTATCCATGCAAGTCGTGTAATTTATCTTTTTATCCCTCCTTTGCTACTTAAGGAAGCGAGTCTTTCATGCATTGTAACCTTTTCAAGAAGCAATATTCTCTTCACATCAAATACTCAATACCTTGCAAGTCAAATCTCTTTCTCCATCTTTCTCATTGTTCTTAAGTTACGTTTACTTTGTTCATACTCATTTTATCTTACTTAAATATTTAGTTGAATACTTTGTTGATTTTCATACTTCAAATCAAGAATGGTTTACCAGACTTGACTGGACCAAAATATTAGCAACAACCCTTAATCATAAGTTAATTAAGGTTTGAGTTTTCAAACCTTGTCCGCACACTAAGTCTTGCACTTTCATATTCACCAGATTAGATAACATTAGAATGGATGTTAATGAAAGGCAAAAAAAAAATCCTTGTGGTAATGCTAGGATCCTCTGAAAATTTTTATAAGAATTATTAGGAAACATTTTCGTTATTATAGACACTCTCACTCTTGGTTTCCGTAAGTACTTAACTGAGGGACCACTCTCACTCTCACTCTTGGTATTAGTAAGTACTTGACTGAGGGATCACTCTCACTCACACTCTTGGGATTAGTAAGTACTTGACTGAGGGATCACTCTCACTCTTACTCTTGGTATCAGTAAGTACTTCACTAAGGGGTCACTCTCACTATAAAGTATTAATAAGTAATCTCTCCCCGCTAGACATCAGTAAATAATTGATTGATGTAATAATAATCACGGCTATCGTAAATGATAGGTGATTGTTTATAAAATAAATCACAATTATCTGAGGTAAATACGCTAATGATAGATGATAAGATAAAATAACAATTACGACTATCGTAAATGATAGGTGATCGTTTATAAAATAAAATATTAATCATTACCATAAGTTCAAAAATCTAGAGAGTCGATTCACACTCGGTAGAACAAAACAATAAGGATGACTGATAATGATTAAAAATATACTCTCGATATTCTCCCAATAGTGCATTCACATCAAACACTCCTAGTTGAATTTTGGGGATGAAATTCCTTAAATAGGGGGATAATGTAACAACACTTTTGGTACCGATCGATATTTATGAAAAGTGACCATTGTCAAATATAATAGGCTTAATATGTTATATATATATATATATATATATATATATATATATATATATATATATATATATATATTATATTTTTTGAAAGCACGCGCTTTCCCGATCCCGAAAAAAATCTATACATGGATGCAACCATATGTCTCAAAGAATTATAATCTTTACCTAAATCTTGCCAATAATATCTTAGATCTGAGAATGTACAAACTGTAATTAATGGCATGAAAAAAGGGTCCTAAAAAGATTCATAACCTTTCTCCTGAAAATCAGACAGTAAAAGGTCTTGAGGTGACTATCTCGACCAAAACACAAGTAGCTAAAACTCAAAGTGCATAACCAAGAACATAGGATAACATTTCGTGAATTAACATAAGAAACCCGACTAAAATACAAGTCAATGGTTGTCGAAAGCATATAAGATAATAGTAGAGATTACACGATGTCCAAAACGCACATTAGCTAATTAACGCGAACCCTATAACAAGGGAATATGTAGAAAAGAATTATGGTAGAAATGTCAAATAAAGGATATGTTGTGATATGTCAGAGAATGGACGAGTCGATATTGTCGAGGAATCCTGCTGAAATGACTTCCCATGATATCACAGTACAAAACAGAATAGTGATCATTAGTCGACATCCGAGAGGGGTCCCGGGACGAAGCTTCGACAATCTAGTTAGTATAAGATCTAAGAGAGATGGTAAATGATTACAGGAAAGAAAGAATTTTGTCCCCTTCTTTGTGAGGAAGAAGGATCCTTTTATATCTGTCTCTGAGGCATGTCTCTCAACTGATTCTTTTGAGGATTCTCTCGTGAGGTGCGACATGGCAGACCCATATTGTAGGGGTCCTCCGTTACGTCTTTTTCCTCCTTCTCTCATTGGCTGAAATGTGATCTTACAAATGTTCACTAAGATCGTGGCTATCGTCTGATAAGTGAGTGGGACTCTCTGATTGGTCCCACATTTTCCAGCGTATGATTTCTCAGAGATGGGGTTAAGGCGCGACTCTGCACCTTAATTGCCTTATCAGCGCCCCTCGTGTTGGTGAAGGCCCGAACTTGTCTTTTGACTGGGTTTTAATCAGGCCAATCCCGGTGTTAGTTTGACTTTAATTTTTATGTTTACTAGAAGGATACATTAACAAGTCCCTTAGGCTTGTAGGTGTATGCGACGGTATGACAGTATCACCGTTCAAGCCTATATCTCGACATGTGTTTGCCTGGGATTAGTTCTATCGTTTGATAGGCCTTAGGCAGCATCGTTAATGTGTCAGATTCACTGTGAGACGGTTCATGACACATGTTTTTCTTTATAATCCCTCCTGTTTCCAGGGCCTTTCATCCTTACTTCCTTTCTTCACTCTCGATGTGTCCATCTGGGCATTCTGAGAAATTTTCTTTCTGATCAATTACTGTCCTCGTTGATGGACCATTGTGGTGGAGTCCCTACTGCTGAGGAGTTCCAATTTCTACAAGATCACTTTGGTTTTTTACTGAAGCATGGTGTAATGATTCTGGAAAAAGGAGTATCGATCTACGATCGTCCTCCAGGGTAAGTTGGCGTACATATTCCTTTGTTTGAAGTAGGATTGTTCCTACTGATATCCTCTGGGATTTCACCTTCTGGGTTTGTGGTTAGTTTGTCTGCTCAACTAAGAATTCCAAGGTCCGTACCCTAGCTAAGCGACGAGGAATTCACCAACTAATCTCTAAGATGGATACTTCGAAGAAGAACTGGAAAAGGTAATGGATTTGGGTTGACCAGAACCACGTGGGGGCATGGTTATTGTAGGAAACTATACTTTCCTAAAAGTCTCCCCAAGTTTTTTGGGGAGAATATGGTTCTCGGCAGACGGCTAGGGAGTGTTACTAACCGTGGAGAGAACTGGGAAGACTTTAATCTTGTTGCTAATAGTATGAGTGCCACCTGGAGGGCTCGTAGGAAGACAGCGTATATGTTCGCCGTGAGATGCAATATTAACTCATCTCCCCCCCTTTTTTTAGAATAGAGTGAGGATAAGGTATCTTGTTAGCTTGTGATATCTTACTTTTGGTGTTTGCTTTCATAGGTGCGGAGGACGAGCTTTCTTTGGAGATGGCCCTGCGTGGTCGCTATCAAGTATGAGTGCCGGATGGAGGGCTCGCAGGAAGACAGCGTAGATGTTTATTGTGAGATGCGATATTAACTCATATCCTCCCCCCTTTTTTAGAATAGAGTGAGGATAAGGTATCTTGTTGGCTTGTGATATATTACTTTTGGTGTTTTCTTTCATAGGTGCAGAGGTCAAGATTTCTTTGGAGATTGCCATGCGTGGTCACTATCAAGGAAAGATTTGCCATTGGGATATCGATCTCATAGAGGTTCTTCCACCCCCTGTGTCTAAAAGGTGCATGCGGGAGCTTGTTGGGCTGCTCTTGTTAGAAGGAAGAAATGCGGGTTCTAGCGGGCCTGCATCACCTTCTTAGCCGATCTCTGTGGCCATTTCACCAGTAAGTTCACCAGTTGTTGTTTCTTCTGGTTTTCCTTTGGGTGTTGAAGCAGGAAGAAGTAATGCGCCTACTGGGAAAAGGCGGAGCTTGTGTTTGGTGGCATCTTCGGATGAAGAGACGGAATCCGATGAGGCGGGTCTTCATCCTTGTAAGGCTCATAGGACCGTGTCTGTGGCCAGGCTCCTTGGCGGTATTTGGGATATTATCGGCAGTCAATTTGTTGTGCCTAAGCTGAGAGAGGTGGTGGTGCCTAGTTCTCCTAGGGATTCTCTTCAACGTGAGAAGCCTTCTATGATCAATAAAGCAGGAACTTTATCCCACTCCCCGTATTTTGAGGCCTACGCTTCAAGCTGGGCAATTAATAGGGATTCCTTGATGTCGGAAGACACTACTGCCTAGGAGTAGAGTAAGTGCACTCATCCTTCGGCCACGATGACTTTGCTTGTAGGTCAATCAAGTGCTTGCATTGCTGGTGACCTTTGTTACGCCGCAACCCAGACCTATGCCCTTATGGTTGCTGCCATCGACTGGGTTTTCCTAGCCGGTGCGAGTAAGGGGAAATTAAAAGTACTATATGGTGTAGGCATGAGGGAGTATGTTTGTGATTCAGAGGCGGAGCATCAAGTTCTTGCTGAGCAGAACAAGATTCTGACCTGTGAGAAAGCCGTTTTAAAGGATCAAGTGGCTACTTTGACAGACCGGTCAGAGCGACTTGAGGACCAAGTGAGTTCTCTCACTCAAGAGAAGGATGTGTTGGCAAGTAGACTGGCAAGGTGCCAATGTCAATTAGCCCGAGATCGTGCTGATGGGGCCGTTGCTTGAGGTAGTTTGCAATGGGTGTTGCAGATGGGGGTGGTTCGTGTGGTTGACAGGGTCATCGAGAGCACTGAAGCCCTTGGTTTTAGGAATGGGAAGGCTACTGAGTAGTTGCTCCACATCTTCCGGTAAATCTAACGTTCTAGATCCTGACCAAGTGGTGAGCCGGCCCAAGGAGGTCAACACTGCCCTTACATCTTTTATCAGTACGGATTTTGCTGGCCTCCTCCATTTAGGGGAGCTAGATTATGATGGTTTCCATCAGTTTTGTGGCAAGCTGAGCCTGGGATGTTCTTCCTTAGAATCCGAGGGCTAACTTATGTTTGCCCCTTGTTGTTCATCTTTCTGTGTAATATGTGTATAATGTAAAACATTGGTTGCTAATAAACATGGACTATGTTTTCTGTTTTGTATTTGGTATGGAAGTGTTCTCTTCCCTTCTTCTATTTTTTTGTACATATGCACATGCTTTGAGTTGTAATTCATTTTTGCACATTCTCTCATTCTAGGGTTTGCGTTAATCTGGTAACGTGTGGTTTAGATGTCGAATAGCTGCTACTACTGAGCTATGTTCCTCTGACTTGTATGTTTAATTAGGCTTATGATATTAAGCCGTGAAATAATTGTCAATGTTGTTGACTATGTTGTATGGTGTAGCTACCAATACTTTTGCTGAGATCGTCATCTCAAGGCCTTTACTGTTCAATTTTTAGTGGGAAAGGTTATGAAACTTTTACGACCCCTCCTTTTGTACCATTTACACACTCTCAACTCTGAGATGTTTTTTTGGCATATTTTAGGTAAAGATTATGACTCTTTTAATACCTACGACTGCATTCTTGCATAGATTTTGCTCAAGTACCATAGGTGATCAGCCGTTGTTACTACTTGAAAAATATGCATAGCCTCTATATTTTGTGTTTTTGCAATACAAAATTCTGGAAAGTTTTTTTAAAATGCAAATTATATTATTTCTAAAAGGGAAGAAGAAAGACATGATACAATAGACCTTGAATATCTAAATGACAGGGCATGTGCCCGGTCTTTGCTTTGGCGCCTAAAGTATGGCTATCATGTGCGGAGTTAGGTCATACTTCTTGTTTGGAGGTAACGACCTTTTACGCCTGGTGTAGGTTAGCCTTCATATGTTGGGGCTTCCTCTTATTTTTCCCAGCGGGGCCTGTCGTGGGGGAGTTATGTTTCACATCTTGTTCCATGGGGATGTTCTCATTTGTCTTTCTTTGCGACCCGATGCGTGTTGCAATCATGGAAGTGCCTCCCCTTGGTCGGGTGAGAGTGCCTCATGCGTGTTTCTGCGCACCTACCCTCCGCATGTCCCGCTGGCAGTGTAGATGTTGTTTTACTTAGCGAGGATTCTTGTTGGTACTCTCCTACGGAAAAACCTTCTCGTTAGAAAGAACAGCGTTCCGCCTCCATTGTTGTTGTTTTGTGCACTTGCACCCTTTGTTATGAGGGCTTTGGTTTATCGGTGGAGATTTGCTCTGGAGCCCGAATTGTTCTTTCACCGGGCCTTCCCTGGTTTTCAATTATGGGTCAGGCATGCGCCTTTTCATGTGGGCCAGCGTTTTCTCATCTTGCGTTTGTCACTCTGTATTCTTGTTGAATCTTCCTTGGGTTGGAATGGGTTCCCTCCTGTGGGAGAGATGTGAGTTGAATAAACACATCTCGTCTTCGTTTCCTGGTATCGTGAACTGGCACTTGTGCTACACCATATTTATTTTATGGGTCTTCTCTTTTTAGGCGGCCTTTGTTTTGACGCGATTGGGTTTCTTGCCTTGCTCATCGTTGGTGTCGTGCCTAATCGTCGGCTTGGTCGTTACTACCATTTCTGATCCATCACTTGTACTGAATTTAAGAACACCGTGGAGAGTATATGGGATTTCTTGCAACTAGAAAAGTGCAGGTCAGCCTAACAGAATGTTATGCTTTGTCGGGCGATCGACAACTGAGAATTCGAGCACCCTTGTTATCTCCTTTGTTCTGTAATGACTAGTCAATGTGAACGAGAGTCTGACTATTCCCATTGGCAAAATGCGGTAACAAATGAAGCCAGCTAGTGGTCCCGATCTTGATGACTGAAGGTACTCTTTCCATTTGATTGGCAGTTGACGAAGGCAGTACTCGTAGACCATGTTGACTCTGATTTCGTTGCCGATTTAAAATTGTTCTACATGGTGTTGAGTAACAAAGCCGGTGATGTGCAATGAATCATTGGGGTCCTAATGTCCTGGCTTGGGATTATTTACTAAGAATGTTATGTTGAGGATGTTTTGGCGGTATGGCCCTGTATCGGGATTGTTGGAATAGTGTCTAAGGCTGCAACTATATTAGGCAAGTATTTGACCCGGTTGTGCATAGTCCTTTTGGGTTGCCTTCACCATAGCAACTTGATAGGATGATTTACAATGAGAGAAGAAATATTATTAATATATTATGAGAATAATAATATTGTTATTTGATTAGTACAAGTCATAAATTAATTAGGAATTAATTTGGTGACTTAAAGAGATTAATTGAATAAAGGGGTATAAACTGTCAATTGTATGATAGTTGTACTTTGGGCTATTATCCCTTATGGATAAGGGGTGGACGGTTTTGGGACATAGGATAAGCCTAGAATTCGTCCAAGGCTTATCATTAGGGTATTAGATAGCTTAGGGCCTAAGTTATCCAATTAAGGTTCAAGGGTGAAACCTTAGGAGCCTCATTAGTATAAATAGACCCTAGGGGTCAAGGAAAATCGGCACCATGGTCTTTAAAGAAACCCTGGCCGATTTCTTCCTCCTCTTTTCTCTCTCTATAATCATCCTCTTGCTAGTTGGTGTTTGTAATCCATTAGAGGAGTGAAACTTGTGACTCTAAAGCTCCAAGGACAAGAAGATTCAAGCAAGTGATTCAAGCTAATCTTCTAAATCTGATTTCTTATTGTTATTATGCTAGAATTACCATTAGAAGTCTCGGATATAATGCATGTTCAATTAGATAAACCTAGATCCAAGCATTAGGATTTGTATGTGCACATAGGAATGTTCTTGTGGCTCAAATCCATCAGTAGTATCAGAGCCTTGATTGGTTTCTATTGAATTGATGCATTGGTTGCTTGACTAATGATTGCATAATTTGATTTTGTCCATCTGCCTGATGAACTCGGCGAGTTCCATATTGGACTCGACGAGTAGGCCTCAACTCGGCGAGTCCATTGTGGTACTCGGCGAGCTCGAGCGTCAGAAGAAGCTAATTTCGGGATTTCTTGCTGTTTATCTTATGGAAACTTGCCTTTATCTTAATAAGTCAATATAAATCCGATTCTAACATATATTTGAGTATATCCTTGACCTAATTCAAGATAATCACCAATTAATTGAATAATAATTTCCTTATGTGATAATTGATTAATTATTTTAATTAAATTGGTAAATTGTTTTGCAAGAAACATCAAATATGGATAATTATGAAATTAAATGGTTAATTTATATTATTTGTTATTTGATCCCTTGTGTTTTAAAAGGTTTAAAACTAATTCTCAAGTTTTGAAATTTAGTTTTGTGATTATAAGGTTAATTTGGACAATTTAAATTTCAAACCCTAGAATTTTACATGTTTAAAATTCTACCCTATACCCTATATGATTACAAGATTAACATATATATATATATATATATATATATATATATATATATATATATATATATATATATATATGTATGTATGTATAATTAAAATGCTATTCTTACCGTTAGTAGGTCTCATTCACGAAGTCGGTCTATAAGGTGGGTATAAGGTTGCTGCCTATAAAATGGTGGTTAATGGGTGTACACTCATACCCACCGCTTGCTTGATCGGTGGAGGGTCGTTAGCCGAATGGATAGGATAGGGCAACTCTATCTCCTCATTAATAAGTATAATGAACCTATAAAGTAACTACATGTTTTTCAAATTCCCAATCCTAGATACTTTAGGAAAAGTGAATTGATGCAATCCCATGAAATTACACTTTGCACCCTTGCTAAGAAGTTAGTGGAGCGTGTGTGGTTTACCAGCACACTAATTGGTTCTAACCAAAGGTGGCAAAGGATGATTCATTGTTTATCATAGTTCGGTGGAGCGTGTGTGGTTTACTGGCACATCGAATAGGTGATCGTTACAATGAAGGCACCGTGTAGATTTACATGATTATTCACACCCACTTTGTGATCCTTGGCATCCCAGTCACAAACGAGAGGGGCATATCGAGATTTAAACATGCCATTGAAAAGTTCAATGAATCTCATCGAAATCTAGGAATTCTCAATGCGTTTAAAACTTATAGGTAATGTTATCATGGTGGAGAATTAGTGAATCGTCATTCACTTACCTTCAAATTGTTTGCATGTTGGATTACGACATCCCTTTTCTAATATGTAAATAATGTAGTTGGATCCTAGCCCTAATTTTTCTTATTGGGTGATAATTAGGGATTCAAAATTCTAATCAATCTTTGTCCTTTCTATTTATAGATGTCGAACGCGAACAACGTTGTTGCTAGTTGATTCACATTGATGAGCCTTTGCCAAAAGGTGAGTTTCGATGGAACGAACTTTAGCGAATGGATAAGATACATTCGCACGATTGCTCGCTACAAGGACAAGGATTATGTCCTTGATGAAAAGCTCGAGAAGATCAATCCAGAAATCGCTACTCCGACTGAAATCACCGCTTTTGAAACTCATGAGTGTGATGCAACGAAAGTTCATTGCATCATGATAGCCACTATGAACTCCGAATTCCAAAAGTCCTATGAGGACATGTATCCGTACGAAATGCATCAAGACTTATTGGGGAGATATCATCAAAATGCGAGGCAGGAGCGTTACGAGATCTTCACTAACATGATCTCTGCTAAAATGGTACATGGAGAATCTCTAACCGTACACTTGCAAAAGATGCAAAGGTATGTCGATTGTCTTTGCAAGTTGAATGTCGACTTTGGGGAAGATTTGGCTATCGACATAGTACTTCATTCCTTGCCTCCGTGTTACCATCAATTTAGGATGACCTACCACATGAACAAGGAAGAGGTCACCCTAAGTAAGCTCCAAGGTCTCCTAAGGGTTACTGAGAGCAACCTCAAGGACAAGTCTGTTGGACCAACTCCTAATCCACCCGCTGCTCCTGTTTTGGCTATTTGGCAAGGAAGGGGCAAGAAGAGGAAGGCTCCGTCTAAGAGCCACCGCAAGGGAAAGTCCCGAGAGGGTTCTTCTTATAGTGGGACCAAAGTTGATCTCGCTAAGTCCAAATCTAACCCAAAGGAGGCAG